GAGACAACATGGCTAAAGTTGTATTTTCTGAATCTGAACAGATTCTGGCTAAATAAATAAAAACTGGGTAGGAGAACCACATATCTTGTCAGAGTGCCTATGGATTGTTTTTGAGAAGTTTGGTCCTGCCTGATTTATAATTGTCTGTCAGTAGCTGTAGTTTTTCTGGCCCTCCTACCTGGAAAGGAGATGATAAGGTTGATGTCGACCAGTAGAAAAACTGGGAAGAGTAGAGATTTTGTGGGTTAAGGTTGGATCATATCTCAGCTGGTTAGAAGTAGTATATGTTATCTAGAACTTGTGAGGCTGAGGGAAGCGGATCATGACTTTGAGGCCAGTTGGGCTATATAGTGAGACCATGTCTCAGTAAATAAATGGAATAAAGTAAAGGAAGTTTTACTGGCCATAATATTCATTAATTTACATTCTGAATTATCTTATGTTACTTTTTTTCCCCTCACTTCGTTCCTCGTATTTATTGTGTTTTCATATTCTGAGAGGCCTTTAGTGTTTGTATTGACCATACAGTATGAATTCCCAATTACATTTTGTTCCATAGTTAAATTACCTTTGATGGTTCCAAAATTGGAAAGTACATTTTGAGGCATCTGAATTGACTCTGAAACACAACCCCTGAAATACTGTCTGGCATTCCTCAGAGCTGCCATTGCCACCTTTGCTTGTGTATATGCCATTCTTCCCTTATTAGAATGTAGTCCCACACAAGCCCTTGCCAAGAGTACTATGAAACACCAACAATGACTTTTATAGTCATGACCTGCTCTGCTCCACTGTATTTGGAAAGCACATTTTCTTTATGCATTTCCCTGTTGAAGGCTATTCAGGTTGTCCCTAACTCAGCTGCTGTGAGAAGTGCTGCCGTGAACACCAATGAGCAAACGTCTGATGTGTAGCTTAGATGGAATCTTTGGGGTAGCCAGTGGTGCAATAGCTACCCTATGTGGTAGGGATGATCTTTAGCTTTTGGAGGAACTTGCATTGCATGCTGAAGGTTGTACATTTAAAAATGTACTTTAAATATTCTCCAAGTGGCTAGTGCATAATGGGTATCGTCAGACTTCAAGCTCAGCCTCTGCATACTTTTCTAAAATTTTTTTCTTGTTTTTTAATCTTTTTATTTATTCCTCTCAGCAGTGGGAAAGGTAAATTTAGACCCTTGTTATTTATGGGGTTTATTTTTTTTTTTTACCTATGTCTAATAAATGTAAGATGGTAAGTATTTTCTGATACGGATTTTGTTAGCAGCAGCCTGTTCAAGAAATGAAACTGGTCTTCCTGTTGCAACATTTTTCTACAGTGGCTGTGCCTATGTTCAGATCCTAGAAAGAGCCAGGAGTGACCACAAAATGCTTCAATGCCATGCATTTCAGGCAGGACAGTTGCTACATTTGAAACTACCTAAACCAGAGCAAGACTGGAACTAAACGCTTAATTTTTCTTTCAAAGTAAGAAAGTTATAATAGTTAAAATACTTACTGTTAGATGAGGATTTAGTTACCTTTTGGGAGAGCAGTCAGGCTTTCAACACCTTGCCTCTAACACTTATTAAAAATTGCTGAATCAAAGTTCCCATTATGTAATTGTCATATTCCCCTAAGTAACAATGTATTCACGTCCATTTAAAGCAGGATGGTGTTCATTCCCAAGTATGGATAAAAGCCAGTGTTTTTCTGTTTGTTTGTTTTTGTTGTTGTTTGTTTGTTTATTTCTCTACACATTGCACATGATCATTCAGTAACTAAGCCAGAAGAATTTGCCCCCTTTCTTTGATTCTTGAGTCTGCTTTATGCTTGAGATGTCTTACAAAACAATCTGAAATTTCCTCCTGGAATCAAAAGGTTTCTGCAAAATCTGTTCATTTGAATTGTGTGGTTAGGGTTCTTAGAGGAACCCAGGGGACTTATTAGAGTAGCTTATAGACTGTGGGCCCACTAGGCCAACAGTGATTGTCTCTCAACAATTCTCAAGAATTGTTCAGTCTGTGACGCCCGCTGTCTCAGCAGCAGGATATTTGAACTTGCCAATGAGAATAAGGACAAGGAGGCAAAGAGCAAAAGCTTTTTTCTGTGCCGTTAATGTAGGGTGCCACAAGAAGATCGGCCCAGATTTAGGGCGGGTGCTCTTAACTCAGATGATATGATTTTAAGGTGGCCCTTCCTACCTCAAAGGATCCAGTTAATTAAAAGGCCCTCACAAGTACACCCAGCTGCTTGGGTTCTGTAGTTAATGCCAGATGTAGTCAAGTTGACCACCAGTCATATCCATTGGGATAATAAGGTAACAACAGCTTGATATTTTATTCCTTAACTCTTGAGCCAATTTAGAAACATCTGAAAAGTGATCATGTTTATTGCTACACTCAAAAGGATGCACAGCAGTCCCATGCCCCCACCCCCCACCCCAGTGTACACAGGGCAAATGTAAGAATCATAGTGGATGCCTGAAACCTTGGTTAGTGCCGAGCCAATATCTGCACTTTCCTACACATGTGAACTATGAGTAAGTAATTGATATTGAAGTTTAATCTGTGCATTATGCATCACAGATGAGCAGCAGCATCTAGTAATAGTTATATTGTAGTCAACGTTATTGTAAGTAGCTCTAGGGTTCCTTACCTAGGTGTGCAGCAACAGAACCAGCATAGATTTCTTCTACTTCCTCACAGTTTCCGTGATAGCTTTGTCCTTATATAGATCTTAACACACATTTTTCTCTTTGTGTAAGTTGAGACCTTTCATCTCATTTAAAGAAAATATGTTGTGCTAAGCTGCTTTTGACACCTTTGAATCACCAGCCACCAGCGTCATTACGCTTACTCTTTGAGGTTATTATTAAGTAAAGTCAGGGCTACTTACTGTCAGCCCTGTGACGCTGTGCTCATTGATCTGCCGGCTGAGATGACTGCTGAGTGACTAGTGGCTAGGTAGTACATGGAAGTATGAGCACACTGGCCAGATGGCTGCTTCACCTCTGGGTGGATGGAGCAGGTTACTCAGAATGGAGCATGCTCTGACGCTTACAATTACTTCTTCTGGAATTTTCCACTTAATATTTTAGAATATGATTGCCTGAAACTATGGAGAACCGCAGGTGGTAGGAGGATGACTGGAGAAAGTCTGCAAGTTCTCTTTGCGTTGCCTTAAGCATGGCTAGTTTTAATACTGTGAGTATGAAAATACCCCGGGTGAGAGATGTCAATGCTTACTTTCAGACAGCTGTCCGTTGTAGCACAGCATAGACTTGATGGCTTATGCATCACAGAAAGAGCGGCTTTATAAGCCTAACTCAGTGCTTAATAAGACGAAGCTCACCTTCCAAACATTCCAAGAGTGTTCAGCGTTGGACTTAGAATGAGTGAAAACTTGAGGGTTATCAGTAGTGGTTCAGAGCTTGTAACTGAATGTTTTAAATATTGTGTGCTTGTGTGTGTGCGTGTGCGTGGAGGGGGTGCAGTAGGGGTATGTATCCATAGTTGCTTGTTAGTATATTTGCATGCATGAGAGAACCTGTATGTATGGAGGCCAGGCAGTCTACATTGAATGCTTTTTCTCACTCCACTGTATGTTTTGAGAGTCTTTTCCTGAGCCTGGAATATATTGATTTGGGGTAGACAATGACCAGCTAGCTCCAGCGATCCTTCTCTTTCCATATTTCCAGCTCTGTATGACAGATGAATGAATGCTGCTGTGCCACCTTTGTACGTGAGTGCTAAGGATCAGAATTCAAGTCCTTATGTTTATAACAAGCACTTTCCAACTGAGCCACCATTTCAGCCCCAAAGATCTTATGTAAGTTATAAATATCCCATATCTAAAATGTTTGAGACCAAAGTACTTTGGAGTTCAGGCCCACTCCTGTCTTGGATTTTGGAATATTTCCACATATGTAGAATGAGAGGATTTGGTGATGTTTACATATGTATATAATGAGATGTTTTGATGTTGGACTCTAGGTCTCAACCTGAGATTCATTTGTGTTTCACATATACCATGTATATAAAACCTGAAGGTGATTTAGTATATACTTAAGTGCTCATTTGTCATGGCCATCAGATGTGGTATTTTTTACTTGTGTGGTTATAAAGGTGCTCAGAAAGATTCACTTTCCTCACATCTTTGGATTTCAGGTATCTAAAGATGCTGTTTAAATATAGTTTAAAATATCAGATGGGTAGCAGCATGCCAGTGGTCTTCGGAGGTCTGCTGTTACATAGCTGAGGTCGTTTAGTTGGTTAGTTGGTTAACAAAGTGCCGTGTCCATATTTTATTTCCCTGGCCATTCTTTTTAAGAGGTTCTGCCTCTTGAGGATTTCTCTGTAGCTGTCTTTCATGAAATAGTTTTGTTACATGCATTTCAGTGATTGGGTTGCTAGTTCTAAAAAGCTGATGAAGGGTCACAATATAGGAGATAGTTCTTTTTTGTAGCATGACTGCAAGAGCTGGAGCTGCATGCATTACGGTGTCTGTTAAACCTCTGGAAGCAAGCCAGCGTGTTTATGGTGAGTTTCATATGTAAGCGGCGAGCCACGAAAAGCCTTTACAGTATTACAACTCTTCTGAGGAGAGGAAGCGTTTGGAAATTGAGCAGTGAAGCAGCAGCAGCAACAAGCAGTCACGGTGGTAGTAAAGCTAGGGCAGCTTCAGCTAGCACATCTCCTAGAGCGAGTCAGTGAGCACGCACACAGCTTCCATCCTGCTGCCTCGGGAGGCAGAGCGGGACTGTCCAGGGCCAGCTTCTAGTTTCATGTTTATGATGTCAAGTCATGTGATAATACTGTACCATAAGTTACCAGCTTTGCTTTACTCTAGAGAAGATCCTTTGCTGCAGTGCTTTTTTCCCTTTTCTTTCTTTTTTCTTTTCTTGAAAGAGAAAAAATTGTGCAATGTATGTTTATGCCTACACCATGCCGAGGCGACACTTACCAGTAAATAATCTCTGTATCCCTGAGGTAAGATACTGTTTCTGCTTTCCCTGCACAGTGCTGCTGCAGCACGGAGCGGATCCAAACATTCGGAACACTGATGGGAAATCAGCTCTGGACCTGGCAGATCCTTCAGCAAAAGCTGTCCTCACAGGTAAGGAAACAGCCAGCAGACTGATTTCATAAGATTTTCATGCACTGAATTGTTTTCTACTAATGAAGCTAAGAAAATACTAAATACCTTATTGATTGAGATCTGTGTTTTTAATTGTGCTGATATATATATGTATATACATCAGCCTTACTGCCTATAGCACTAAGAATTTCAGCATTAAATCATAATGTTACTCATATTTTGTCAGCTTTATGGCTTACATCACAGTTTTCTTCTACCTCCTCTTCTCGGCTGGCTTTTTAAGCCCTTCACTGTTGAGCAGACAAGGGCATTTGTGTTACTGTAAAAGTAGTTTTCATTGGAAAGACAACCTGCTGCCTTATTACCAGGATCAGTAGTTAAATATCTCATCCTCTCCCTGTCCACTTTTATATGTTTTATCATATCTTTTCACTTTTTATCATGATAGCCAAGTTTTTTTTTAACTGGGGCAGTAGATTGTCCTTTTACTTCCAACAATGCAGATTTGGGGCTTACTAATTTTATTAAAGTGAGTGCCAAGAATGAGCACAGAGGAGATGCTGGGGTAGAAAGCGCCCCTCGTCCCAGTCTGCAAGATTGTTTAACAGCTAGATCTTGAGTTGCTGTTGTCATTGATCTTCATTCTCAGAATGCTGCCTTGGATCTATTTTTGTTTTTATTCTCCGCATCCAGGCTCTGCTGCCTTTGCCCTCTTTTACTTAACTGACCTTTGTAATTTGCAGCCTTTTTGTCACTGCAGTGCTAACAGCATTGTTTTAGGTTGTGTGGAAGTAAGTGACTCTTCACTACCTTTTCAATTTACCCTGTTTGGAGAGATAGGTCTGTGTTCTTGCGTAAGTTCAGTCCATGCTGTGCACTTTTAATAGAGATTGTAAGATGAATGAAAGGCATTTATGTACAGAAAGCTTTAAAACATATGGAATTTTGCTTAATTACCCTGCATGGAAAGACAACTTCCCACTGTGCTAAAATTAATATAATCACTGCTGAATCAGAGTAATCTGATTTTTCTCAATTAATTAAAGATTAGATGAGTTGCTATACTAGGGCAGCATATTCCAGAGGGCTAAAGCTGTTTAAATCAGTGTAGGTAAACTTAAGTACAAATACAGTTTTAGATGATGAAATCAGGCCTACCTGATTTTTCTCCGACCTGCCTGGGTCCGGAAACCTTCAGTCTCTTCTTAACGAATCACGCACAACAGTATAGCAGCTTTTAATGGTGTCTGACCAGAGGAGAAATACAGTACGGAAACAGTTCCACTTAGTGAAGCTGCTACAGTTTGTGCCAAGCAAGACTGTATTTCTGAGTGTCCTCCCCCTGACCTTTCCTCTTCCCCATCTCACTGCCTGCCTGTTCATTTGTTAGGTGCATTTAATGCATCATTGCCTTTAGGACTATATTTCTCCTTTTTGAAAGACATAAGTTTCAATATAAGCTATTAACCATAAGAAGCCATCTCCTCATTGAAGTGCAGGTCAGAGAAGATCATTTTAGGCTAGAGCTGTGGCATACTCGCTCACGGAGACTGGGGTGCCCCAGAGGACAGATAGCACATCTAATGTTGATTTGGATACTGTTCAGCTTTGCACTGCACTTAGATGGGGAGGGTCTACATTTTTCTCAGTAACAAAACTACTAATGTTGTTCAAACGCTACCGATAGTGTTCTTTTTAAAAATATTTTGGAGACAATTTTTCTTTCAGTTGTAATTTAAAACAAAAAGTCTAGAATAGTAGTTTTCTTGGAAATAAAAAATTATTCTACTTATACATTCATGCTAAAAAAATATACATCATGGAAATACTCGGGTAAGCTCTTTCAGCCTGGTTTTCTGCTCACACAGGCTTGTTTCTAAGGATTTCTTTCTGATAGAATTATGATGGAAATGTTATTTCCAAAGCTAAATTTATACAGATTAAGCATTGATTCTACAAAGGGAAGTGGACTCAGGCACAGCCCAGTCTTGTCTAACACATGTCAAGCCCATGTTCACTCCCTAGCACCCGCCTTTGGTGGTCTCAAACTCTCAAAGATGAATAAAAGCTAAAATGGGGTTGGTAGAGTGCTTGCTTATCATACATCCAACCCTGTGCACAGAGACATATACCTATAATCCTGACCCTAGGAAGGTGAAGGTAGACTCTTGAGAGGAATGTCTTGGAGGTGTTAGACTAACTTTACATGAGTCTCATTTTTATTCCAATGAGTTATAGTACCATTACATAACTTGAGAGTGATGTTCTTTCTTTAATTTCTCTGTATTTAGGTGCTGAACATCTTTCTGATAGTCTAACATTTATGTTACGAGTTCGGTACATTAACCAAACAATATGCAGGTATACCTTGAAGCAAATTAATGAAGATTAAATCTCTTTTTATATAATGTTAAAATTGTGTTTGATTTTGTTTTATATATAAAGACTGCTCTATAGAGCAAACACATACTGTCAGTATGGCAGTTAAACTACCACATATCCTTGGTTTTGGATAGTGCCAATAGGCATTTGAAAGAGATGGCTAATTGGAAAGATTGGTTCAACGATTTGGTGAACTATTTGAGTTTAGGTTTATAGACGACTTAAAGGTTTTTGTGTTTTAAATTACCTGTGTTCTAGGTAATCAGCTGGAGGACTTAGAGCCATTGTGGGTTTGTTTGTTTATTGTGTTGTTTTTAGAACAAAATAAAACATCAAAAGTTTATGTAAATTTTGAACATAATATTTAAATATCAAATAAGATATTTGGTGTGTTATAATTATGGGGTTTTTTTCAATTTATTTTTTTTATTTATTACAATTTATTCACTTTGTATCTCAGCTGTAGCCCCTGCTCTCCCTCTTCTCCTCCCATGCCTCTCCCAGTCCACTGATAGGGGAGGTCCTCCTCCCCTTCCCTCTAACCCTAGCCTATCAGGTCTCCTCAGGACTGGCTGCATTGTCTTCCTCTGTGGCCTGGTCAGGCTGGCCCCCACTCATGGGGAAATGATCAAAGAGCCAGCCACTGAGTTCATGTCAGAGACAACCCCGGTTCCCCTTTCTCGGGAACCCAGTTGGATACTGAGTTGCTATGGGCTACGTCTGTGCAGGAATTGTTAGGTTACTCCACGAATGGTCCTTGGTTGGAGTATCAGTCTCAGAAAAGACCCCTGTGCCCAGATTTTTTGGTTCTGTGATCTCCTTGTTGAGTTCTGTCCCCTCCATGTCTTTCTATCTCCCCCTTCTTTCATAAGATTCCCTGCACTCTGCCCAAAGTTTGGGTATAAGTTGCAGCATCTGCTTTAAATAATTATGGATTTTTGAAAGTAACATTTTGGGCTTTTTCTGTTTATAAAAATTACGTTTGGAAATAGAGGGAGATAAGAAAAAGCACAAAAGCTGGGTGGTTGTGGCACATTCCTCTAATCCCAACACTTGGGAGGCAGAGGCAGGCCAAATCCTGCAGCCATGGTCTACAGAGTGAGTTCCAAGGCAGCCAGGGCTACACAGAGAAACCCTGTCTCAACCTCCCCCCCCCAAAAAAAAAGCACAAAAAATAAATCAAAATTCTCCCTTAAAGATGGTATTGCTGTACTTTTATGTAGCTTTTTAGTAACACCTTTTCTGCTAGTGTACAACAGCATATGTTACATAGTATTGAATAAAGTATGTACATATGCATACGTTTGCGCTTTGGTCAGGATTGATACTCAAACATAATATGCAGGGTTTGGTTTAGTGGCATGGATAATTTCAGGAGGCTTAAGTAGTCTTCAACATCAGCGTTTAATTTTGTCATTTTTCTTTCCATGGACATATTAGTTCTTTCAGTAAATTCCCTCACATTTAACATTTCAAGAGATTATTTTTAGCCTTTTTGTCTCTTTTGTTTTCTTTCTTTTTCTTCCTTCCCCCCTCCCAGGTTGGCTTTGAACTAGGTGTTTAGCCTTGTACTTCTGAGCCTTCTTCCTTCACCTCCCTAGTGTTAGGCTTACAGGCGTATGCCTCTGTGTCCAGGGCTTTGTGCATTACAGACAAGTACTGTACCGACCCCAGGTTTAGCTTTTATTCATCTTTATGACTTTGAAATCACCAATTTCACCAAAATTGTGCTTCTTTGCCATATTTAGGCTTGGCACATAGAAGTGTTTCTGATCTTGACTTTGATGTATTTGAAGGCTTGTTTGTATTGCATGTGGTATCTTTATGGCAATGCCTAAAGTGTACTAGAAAGGCATTGTTAGTTAGGCAGTGGTAGTGCACACTAATCACAGCACTCAAGAGGCAGAGGCAGGTAGATCTTTGTGAACTCCAGTCTACAGAACAAGATCCAGGTCAGCCAGGGCTACACAAACCCTGTCTGGAAAAGAAATTTAAAAAAAAAAAAAAGGCATTGTTTCTTAATTGAACTAAGGAGGATTTTTTCCCCCATGTAAAGTGAAATCTATGGAACACAGTGGAAAGGATAGAGGGCGCCAGTGGAACACTGAATCAGGCAGATGTGAAAGCTGATTAAGACTGGAAGTTTAGGGAAGGATAGATGACCCAAGCAATGTTTATTTTTGACAAGATCAATGAACTACAATATGAACTGTGTGAGTCTCTGGTCAAAAGGTTGGCCTGGTAATTGGCCCTAGTACCTTCGCAATTGATTTTGGGAAACAAAAATAAGGAAGAAAGGTATTTTGCACAAAGGTGCCTGAAAACTAAGTAAACTTTGTTCACACTTGTAATCACAGTCCTTGGTAAATAGAGGCAGGGGACTCACTGCAAGTGTGAAGTCAACTGGGCCAATTAAGAGAGTTGCAGGCTTCTCTGTATAAAGTAAAAACCCTGTCTCAAAGACCAAAACAATAACAAAGCCAAACCAGGAAGAAACTGTAACCTGAACTCCCTGTACTTCTAAAGCAGTCCTCCGCTGTGGTTGCTGGGCAGCCTCCCAGTGCCGCAGAGCGCTCAGCTGTGGCTCCCATCTCACACACTGTTGAGGATCTGGTGCAGGCCCCAGAGCCTGGCGA